GCCAAGACCTGGAAAGACACTTTCTTTCTTCAGGTTTCTTACCAAGTAGGATCCTAATACTGAATCTGTGGAGTCCCACCAATTTGAACAAGGCTGTTTGTGAAATTCAGAGCAGGTGCTGATGAATAGAGGAGGAGCAGGTTGGCAGGAAAGAGGAAAAAAGTTATTGGCAATGGAAACTATTTTTTTCATGGAACATCAATGAGTTTCTAGAACATTTTCAAAACTGAGGGAAGAGGATTGTAACAAAACTTTCCAAATAAACCTTAAAGTGTAAACAAGCTGATATGTAGGTGTGTAAAACCTGCAGAAGTTGTATTTTAAGGGTACACCCTAATGCCCTGGCAGAGTTAGTACTGTAACACTCTCAGAAATCAGTGGCCAGCTTGGTAGTGTTATCCAGCATGTGAAAGGGTGTGACAATCCACCCTGCGTGGAAAGTTCTGCTCTGATGCATCTACACAAGTAATGTATTAAATTATGCAAGCAGTACTTTTAAAAATACTATTTTACAACTCTACTTGAAGATAGCCAGCTAATTTGCATATAGAGCCAAAATTTTCTCTGAGTTTATTAAATTTTTCCTTTCTGTTAAACTTTCGAGTTCATTTAGCAGTGAGAGTTTGTATAAAAGGAGTAAGATCCATGTAGGCTCCCTGCCCTCTGTGATGTTCATTTCTTTAAACCTTGTGTGCCAGCTCAGGAGCAACAATATCAAGTGACTTCAAAGGACAACTGCTCCCAACAATCCACAATGGCTTGTATTTCAACTCGTTAACCAGCAGAGCTCACCAGACCTGTTATTTTATTTCAAGGCCTCTGTTGCTCTTTTCATGTATTGAGCTACAGTCCCAGCTCACTGCAAATGAAAGGGGGGGAAGAAAAGCAATGATGTGTAGAATTTGGTAGGGAGGTCGATCTCTGCATGTGTGTCTCCAGACGTAGGCACACAGACTATTTTTAAAGTAAACCTGGAACGTATGTTTCATGCAAGCAGTCAATAATAAAGCTTGATGACATGTTTTCCTTCTCTCACAACCACTTACTTGCTTCCCTCCTTTGACTGTGTCTTGTCTGAAACCAAGACTGCAGATTCTTTGGAAAAGGATCTGTCACCGTAAATCAGCCAGACTCTGATTTGGCTGCCTACATGCTGTTTCAGAATATATGGCAATAATTAATAGGTCATTCATTTTGCGTGTCAGTGGTGTTCATTACAGTAAATGTATTTGCCTTTCCTCTTCCCTCCCCCTTTAAGGCATCAAATGATATCCCTACAAAGTGCTTATTCAAACTGGCAGATCTCTTATATGTGCTAAGAACTAGAAATATATCAAATTTGACACAGATTTTTCATTCTGATAATATTGTTTGATAGTGGGTTTCTGAAACAAGGTCAAGGTTAAAAGCTGGACTATTTGACTTATTTGGGGTTTAATATAGGTGAGTATAATTGATGTCAAGGAATTTTCAGCTCCAGCCTTAATTTTCCACTCCTCAACCTTCTTTTAGACTGTGAGTGGGGGGATATTTACAGGCTGACCAAAGCTTTTGCCAACATGTAAGTCAGCATAAAACAGTACCCATTGCTGAAAGAATCAGTTCCACCTTTCCAAGGGCCTTCCATTTCTCATTTTCACCACTGTATCTGGTCATAGGCAGAAGCATTTGTGTGACTGTACATTAAGCCACTTCAGGCTCACCTAAATTGAAGCTCATCAGTTTTTTTCTGACCCTGGTTCACTAGTCCCACAGGCTCCTGTTTAGGAACTAAAGAAAGTGCCATGCAGGGCCGGAAAAAATATGTCCAAGGGCAGCAACAGACAGCACTTGTGTAGTAGGGCTTGGTAAAGTTTGTGTAAAGGGTGCCTGAAACTAAGGCCTGATGCTACTCTGATTACACCTCCTGGACAAAGCTCTTTGATTTCAGTAGGTATTGTGTCTGAGAAAGGCCTGGTGACCTCAGTCCTTGATGGTTCCTTGGAGAAGCAGTTAGGGTTTTGAATAAATAGGGCAACCTGGTACTATAAAGAGATTTATATAAATAGTTCACAATGCTGTTAGCTTTTTATTTAGTTCATGGCTATCTGTATCTGTCTGTTCTTAGGATGAGAGAAAGATTAGATTTGAGTTGACTCTGATTTGAGTTGACCCCTCTCTCGGTGGTGCCGGAAGGTAGACTTGTGTCATGATGTTGGTCAAGGTTTTTTTCTGCTGCTCTCTCTCTCTCCCATTGTCTCAGAACTGGAAAGAAGATAAAAATCCCGCCCTTCTACCTATGATTCTGAATCAGCTCTCCTAACCCTTGGCTATGTGCCCAACAAAACCCCAGAGCCAAATTCCCTGTCAAAGCCAAGCATCCTGTGGCTTGTCTCTATTATCTAAGTGAGGATATACAAGCCCAGAAGAAGGGAAGGGAGAGGTACCTGGTCCAATGCAAACAGTGATTTCCTCTTCTATAATAATGTTTTAATAATGGTTTGAGAGTGATGGGGATTTGTGACGATGTTTGAATTCAGTTTGTAAGCCTGTTGCAATTACATTTGTAACTGTTTGAATGTCAAATAAATTCACCCAATTTCACCTGCACAGTATAGGAACACAATCATATATGTGCTCCTAGGAATTCACTGTAGCTCCCACCAAAACCTTGAGGCAACAGTGCTACCTGCAGCATTCTCACCCCTATCCTTGAAAGGACAGGGACCAGCAGTGTTGTGATCTACTGCATCTAATTTGGGAAGCCAAGAGCAAGCACTGCATGGTGCCCTGCAAGCCTGGCCCTCAGCAACCTGGAGCAAAAGTGGGCTTGTCCTGGTTTTAAGGTTTTTCCTGGCTGAGGATGAATAGGCAGACTTTGCTTTGCAACTTTGAATTTCCTCGCTTCCTTCACCTCATGCTTCATGGAATCCCTGACACCTCTGTCAGTAGTCTAATGTTGTATGGCCTGTTGCAGCTTATTTCTGTAATGTGCTTACTTTTTATTTGCTTTGTGTGGCTAATGGGAGAGCTTACATAATAAATCCAGGTTTGTTGCTTCCATCAGTCCCTGGGGAAGCTGTCACCAGGTACTGGTATCACCCCTCCATTATATCCGCACTGGTTAAAAACAGTGCAGGGCAACCACCAACTCCTGCACCCCCAACTTATTCGTCAGCTCTCCTCCCATAAAAATTGAAATCCCTCACTCTGGGCATGTGCCAATGCTTCCAAATGCCGCTACACTACCCCTGCAGTGGCTAGATCTGAGGGCTGTGCACTGCTACTTGCTTTGCAGACAAAAAACCAACAGAATCCCGGTCCTGATAGATTTTTTTTTTCAATCACACTCAATTGGGAACACTTGTTTAGCCTTATTAAGTGTTTTATTAGCTCTAAAAATAGGTTCTTAAATATTTTCCAAGGTTGACTAAAATATGAAAAACAATTATATAATCAGTGTTTAAAATAAACCATAGTTTGTTATAACCGAGACCCATTCAGTGGAATAACATTTATCAAGAATCATAGGATATAGAAAATTCCACAGCCTCTGCAAATCCCCAGACAGTATTTCTCCCATTGCTTTCAAACTGAGTTGTGGAGTCTAGTTTTCTGATGTCCATCAGAATTCCTACCAGCAAGAACACTGCAAAAGTGGAAAACAGTCTTTGGGTGAGCAGGCTGCAAGGTTTTTAATGAAAATAAAGAACTGGTCTATTGGTGTAACCATTTTTATAATTTCTTATTGTTAAATGAAAACTTTTATAAATAACCTTACATAAATAATAACCTCACAGGTTTTTAAAAGTTCACACCATCAGTCAGACCTGACTCAACATTCTCTGGTCTCTCACTGCTTAAACTGTTTCTGCAATTGCTCTGGAATACAAGAATCCTTAATGTCTCTTTTGTAAGAGCAGATGATATATTTTCGGCAAGAGTTAAGCTGCAGAGGAAGATTTGGCAGTTAAGTGAAATGCATGTTACAGCTGATGCTGCCTTTTTTTTATTGTTATTGGAATAACCGAAAAGATTAAGCTGTAGTGCAGGTATGGCTTGAGTCATGCTTTTATCATTGCATCTCTTGGGCTGATATGAACTATATTATTAAAAACGGTAGCTCAAACTGATTCTGTACTTTGTTTATCTACAACCAAGCTCAGCCAAAGATCAGCTAGCCTAGTGAAAAAATGTAGTTGAAGGCTGTGTACATACAGGCACTGCTAATTACTTTCAATGACTGTCAAATGAACATTGATACTAACAGATTTCTTAGTATGCCTTTAAACAAAGCACTCTTATCTATGCATAAAGAAAAGCACTACACAGAGCAGAGTTAATACAACATGTCAACCTATATTTTGATTTAGTTTGTTCTTAAAAAAAAAAAAAAAAAAAAAAAGGTAGTGATTTATCACCCCTTTCTGTTGCCAAAAGGAACTGCAGTACCTTCCAAAAGCTTGCACCCTGGGAGATCCCAGAGCCGGTAGTACTGACACCTCTTTTCCTCCGTAGTGTTTACATGATCAGCAGCTTTAGTCTCAGTGACTTTTTACCTGTTAAGGAGCCGGGTGTGTTTGTAAATGACAGGCAGTATAACCCACCATCTGCCTCTGCACTGCCAAGAACCTGTTCGGGAAATACAGATTCCCGCTCTGGAGCTCACATCCCGGCCTTTTGCTCGTGAAGAGCTTACCCGGAGCAGCCTGTGCTACAGTGGGGAGTTCGTGGGGAGCCCTGGGATTAAAAGGCCCGGCAAGAAAAGCTTCGGGGGGAAGCAAGCGGGATGATTTAAGGAGCGAGCAATCCCAGACGTGAACGAAACACAAACACGCTGCGGGTTTCTCTTCCTCAGATAAAAGTACCGGCGAGCCAGCCTAAACGCTGCCCGCGGACGACTAGTCAGAACAAGCCCAAGCTCCAGAGCTCAAATTAAAATGTTTCCTCTGCGCGACTGCCTCCTGCGCCGGGAGTTTCCTCGCCTGCCCCACACCTGCCCGCAGCCCTACAGCGCCCTGTGCCCGGCAGCTCCGCTCCGCTTGTGCCGCGCTGCCCGGCGAGGCCGCGGCCGGGCGGGCGCTACACGAGGGACTCGCAGACGGGCACTGAGTCCGAGTCCTGGCTGTGCATGGAGCTCAGCCCCGTGTCCGAATCCTCGTCGTTGTCGGCGCGGTCCTTGCGCAGCTCCACCCAGCCGCCCCCCGGGGCCGCCGCCGGCCGCCCCCCGCCCGCCGCCCCTCGGGGCTCCGCCGGCGCCTCCGCCACGTCCAGGGTGCCCAGCGTCTCCAGCAGGAGCTGCAGCTCCCGCTCCTTGTCCTCCCACGCCCGCTGCGTGCAGTCCAGGTCGGTCTTGACGGCCTCCAGGTCCGTGCTTAGCTTGAGGCCGATGTAGAGGCTGGTGCTCAGCTGGGTCTTGACCCGCTCGTGTTCCAGGTGCAGCTCGCCCTCGCCGCCGCCGCCGCTCAGCTCCGTGGTGTCACAGTCCGTGTCGGCCAGGCCGGGTCCCGCCGCCAGCTCCAGCTCCTCCCGCCGCCGCTTCATCCAGCGCTCGTTGAGCTCCTCCTGGATCTCGGCGGCCAGGTGCTCCAGCAGCTCCTCCTGCTGCGCCCGCTGCTCCTGCAGCTGCAGCACCTCCTCGCACTTCCTGGCATAGTCCTCCTCGGGGCGGCTGGCGGGGGGCTGGCCCGGCTCCGGCTCCCCGGCGCCCACCAGGTAGGTGTCCTGCACGTAGTTGACGCCGTGCCGCTTCATGCGGTCCAGGTGGATCTTAGCCTCGTACCTGTCGATCTCCCGGTCCAGCTCGCGGAGCCGCTGGATCTGCTGACGGATGGTGTGGTCCTGCGAGAGCACCAGGTGCACCAGCGTCTCCATCCTCTCCGCCGACGAGGCTTCCCGGGCCAGCGGCTGTTGCCGCTTCTTGTTGATCTTGGCCAGCTTGCGGAAGGCTTTCCGCACCACCCGGCGCTGCCGCTCCTGCGTGAGTGCCAGGCTGGCGCGGGCGGCCCCCAGGCCGCGGCCGGGGCGCTCCTTGCTCAGCACCACACGCGCCTCGGCACTGCGCGGACCCGCGTTGGGCAGGGAGGCCTCGCTGCGCACCAGCACGAAGCGCACGTTCTCCTGCTCGTCCCCCCACGCCACCCAGAGTCGCAGGATCTTCGTCTTGTTGGGCAGGATCCGCTCGAAGCCGCGCCACTTCTCCACGATGCAGTAGGAGTGCGGCGGCCCCGACAGCATCCCGCCGCCGGGCTCGGGCGGCGCCGGGCGCTGCCGGCGGTGGTGGCTGTCCTCCAGCAGCACCCGCACCACGTCCGAGCAGGTGGTCCGCCGGGACAGCCCGGAGATCAGTTTCTCCTCCTGGCAGATCCACACCGAGATCTTCCGCTCCTCGGGCTCCATCGGGGGCGGCTGCGGGGCGGGCGGAGGGAGCCGCGGGCTCAGGGCTGGCCGGGCAGCCGCTCCATGGGCAGCGCTCACGGGAGACGCAGCGCAGCCCGTCCGCCCGGCTTCAGCGCGACCGGGATGCCGGCCCTCCCCACCCCGCCCGGCCGCTCCACCCCTTCCTGCCCGGTGCGGAGCCGCCAGGGGCGGGGGGGCCGGCCCGGTGCGCTGTGGACCCGTCGCGGTCCTGTCCGCCGCCTCCCGCCGCCTCCCGGCTTTCCTCTCCGCACGTGGGCGCCCCCGCGGATCACACCGCGGGATCCGCTGGCGCGCAAATTTGGGAGCAGGTCGCCGTCGTCCCCGTATCTTCTTTCTCCGCGCCCCTCCGCTGCCGCGAACGAGCGAGCGAGCGGCGTCGGGGGATCTTCCAAAGTGCCGAGGGACAAGAGCGAATCCTGGAGCTTCAAAGGCAGAACCAGAACTAGTGAGGAATTTCCAGTTTTAGTAAATCATCCGCCTGTAATTAGGAAATTCATGTTTGCAAAGCACTTCGCAGATGAAATATGCAAAGGACGGGAATGTCTAAGTGTTATTAAAATACTAGCTGAGCCAGATTTTAATGGGAGCTTGCTGTGTACTTTGATGGGAACAGGATCGGTCTCCGAGTGCGGATTAAAACGAGGAGATGTAAAAAATGGTAATAAAACACAGGGTTGTGGCACTGATTTTCATGGTGCGATTGCATTGCAGGGTTCACGGACCTGGGCTTTTCTACATGGCTGAAAGTGTACTATAGTGGGTAAAGGGGGAAATCTTTCTCAGACCTGGAGGCTGATGAGTTTTAGAGCCAATAAAACTGGTGTGCTGTGTGGAGAGGGTTTTTGTGTGAGTAAGTTTTGCGTTCCAGTCAGTGGAACAGAACAGTGTAGTGTTGGCATTGTAGCCTAACTACTGTAATTCTGCTGTTTGAAACAGTGACGCTGGGGCACACAAAATAGCGAGTTAACAATTATGCAGCCTAACGTCCTGTTCTTCCCTAAAGTAACAGGCTCGGTGTGGGCAGCTGCTGCGCCGGCTTCTCCGTATTTACGTGGAAAGACTAGTCCTGGGGAAGGAAGCCTGCCTTCTGCCCTGGCTGCGTAAGGCAGCTAATTACGGTGGTGGTTTCGGACGTGCAGCCTCCTGTCCCGTGAGGAAGTGGGCAGAGGGACCACCGAATGCCAGCATTCCTAGAGCTGAAGATCACACGGATCGTGCGCCTGCCGCTAACGTCCCTTTCCTGTGTTACTGCAGGTTAAATGATTCCAAACCGAGGTGGCCGCTGCATGTTGCAACACGGGCACACAAGACAGGGATGTTGGTAACAGGCTGGATTTTGCTCCCTGACCACAGCTACCTTACGTTAAAGTTGCGTATTCCTGTCCAACGGTAGTCTGGCACTGCCAATTCCAGAGGCAAGGCATTTTGCTCTCATGACGTATCAGAAGTACTAGATTGCTGTGCTTTGTGTAGAGAAGATGTTTGCTGCTGGAAGGTTATTCCCGAGGTATGCAGGCTTTTTTTTTTCAGTGCATTTATTATGCCTAAAAGCATAATCCACTCCAGGGCAGAGGAAGGTGGGCCAAGCAGTGGCAGTCCTGTGAGAGAACAAAATGACCTTAACCAAGGGGGGTCTTCAGGACTCTGGGGCAGAATGAAAGGGTGTTGAACAGGAATCAGATGTGAAATGTAACCATATGATTCAGCTTTGCCTCTGGAAGGTTCAAGATTTTAAAAAAACTTCTAGAAGAGTAGGAAAAGAAAAGCCTTGTTGCTTTCATCAGGCTAGCAGAAACTTGGAAATTAAGACCCTCATTGTCTTTTGCAGAATCAGGTGCAGCATAAGGGTTAATGAAGCAATGACAAATTGTCCGATGCCTTTACTGGTGATTCCTTGCCTTTCCCATTTAGTTTTGATCTTGTTTTACATGTGTTTCCTATGAAAATGTTCGTACCTACTTTCTTCTGGCAAAGAACAGTTCAGGAAAAGCAGGGTGTGATGTGAAGATGTTTCTATGCTCCCCACAGGTCAAGCTGCTCCAACTTGTCTGACTGCCTGTATCTATCCAGCATCCAAGCTTGGCTTTGTGCAATGAAATTGGAAGATGATCGTTCCATCTTTCCTTGACCACATATCTGTGTATGGAAAACTGGCTTTGCCTCCCCAGTGAAACCCCCAAGGCAGCACTGTCAGAGAGAGAATGAAGATGCTGGCAGTTTGGTCTGAGGCAGTAATTGTAAGATTAATATTAGGGAGACAAACACTTGATTTTGGTAGGTAGGATATACCTAGTAGATCCATGGTTAAAGAGATGGCATTAGAAATTCACATTGTTGGATCTCCAGTTTAACCCTCAGGAATTTTGTTTTAGTCTCTCTTCAAACTCAGGAAACTGCCAGCAAAGCTTCAAAAATTTGAAATGCTTATGTGCTTGAACTCTATCTGAAGCAAAGTTGTGTTGAATCCCAAAAGGCAAATGAATGCAGGCAACACTTTGCCTCTCCTCCCAGGATCTTAAAGCATCCTGCAGAGGACGGTTTTATCTCATTTAAAGATAAGAATGCTATGGCATAAAGGAATCCAGTGTCTTGCCTAAGGTTATATAGTGAGGCAGTAGCAGTGTCACAAAGCAAATCAGGTTCCTTCACTCTGGTACCATTAGTCACTGAACTCAACTGCCTAGTGCTCCGCCTCCATCCTCTCCTTCTCTCCTTCTTTTAATTATTCGATGAGAAAAGGAGATGAGGAAGAATACATCAGTTCAACAACTGCAGATGGTGATAAAACGAAAGTGCAAGCTCAGCAGACAATATGTACCTCTGGTGAAGCAATAGGAGGCAGTGGCATACAGGCTTCTTCAGGCGTTTCCTCCCTGGTGAAGGCAAATCTCCGTCAGTTCACTGTGCCTGCAGACCTGCAAGCCTCATGTGCAGAGAGGGTGCCATTAAAATATCAAACTGGAGGGAAGGACAGCTGTTTGTTCCTCTCTTCACTCCCTTCTCCACAGAGCAGTGATGTATGAGGTCTTCTATAATTTCTGAAACAAGCATATCACATAATTTTAAGCTTAAAAGGTAGTAAATGGTCTGTTGTAATGCAGAGGCTGTTTTTATACTGCCATATCAATACACAGCTGACATCACACTCTTTCTGAGGTGCAAACTTCCTGGACAGAATGGTATCCAAAAAAGTACTACATGGCCTATATTTCTTTGGTTGTTTTATAAATAGCAAAAATTCAGAGTTGATGATACTCCTAACAGCTGCCTAAGCCCCAAAAGGAGATTTATGAGCTTAATATTTTAGTCTGCATTGAAAAGTTCAAGCCCAGGTATAGACTAGTTTATTTTTATCTACTGCAGGAGAATTACAAGGCCAAGTGATGGGAAATCAGATATATTTTGGCATTTCACATGAAGTTCTTTTTCTTCTTTCTTTTTCATTGAAGCGTGCAAATAAATTACCAAGTCTTTTGTGATAAGAACAGCTTTCCTATTTCAGGGTTGGATAGTGAAGTGTCTCTTTTTTTTGTTGTTGTTTGTTTGGGCTGAACTACCAGAATGAAATTGCAGCCTTGATATTTTCAATAAATAAAATTATGCAAGTCTTTATCTTAAATCCTTTGAATCTAAACCAAATAAATACAAATGTACTTTCTGCTTCCATTCTTCATATAACAGGAATGTGGGGGAAGTCTTAGAACACTGTATTTGAAACACAGAATTAATTTCTTTCAAATACATTTAAATGGAAAAAGTGTACAATTCGGATTCAGGGTATTTTTCTTTTTTTCCACAGTGAAGTTGCTTTTACTGTTTAGATCACTCTCAGGACAATTTATTTATTTTTCCTGAGGTTACAGTTCAAAAGAATACAGCCTAGGTGAGATGAGTAAAGGCAGGCTGCAACTGGTAATCTATTGAGCCATCGCTGTCTGGAGAGGTTGCTCTTTGTTGTGATGCTGAATAGCAACGCTGCTTTCCCAGCTCCTCTTCCTACATTCCTGTTAATCTGATTTTGTGAGGTTTAGAACTTGGTCCCTTGTTGCTTTCTAACACTTTGCCTCAACAAACTTGGATGAAGTCCTGGGATGTAATTTGACTGTAATGTTACAGACTGCTGCAGTGGTTGCTCACCTTTACAGATAAATGAATGGGGAAGGGGCTACTTGAGCTTACAGGTCACTCCCTCACGGCTGCTTTTTTCTTTTGTACCTAGTTTTTCCTGATAGTATAGAGCTGAATAACCAAATCATGTTGGAATAACCAAATCATCCCTAGTTAGCATGCATTGAATAAAGCACTTGAAAAACTACCTCTCTATTAGCAGCGGTATGCAGACTTTAGTCAAAATAGTTTGTAGTCTTAGACTTTTACTTGAAAGAAAGTTGTTCAATTTATATCTATTGTTTGAGCAGCTTTAGACCTGGGAGAATGCTTCTTACTTTCAGGTGTTCTGTTGAAGCCACTGAAGGAACTGGCACTTTTCATAAAGATGACTTTTAAGGAGCATAATCAACTCTTGAACTGCTCCTGTAAGCAATGAGCTCTCTGAACTCCTGATCCATTTCCTTCAGTCTCTTGCATCTGATGAGTACTGTTTTACTTCTGAGTGCCACCCATGCAGCTGGTATTGTTGACATAGCTGGAAATCCGGAGTAATCCTTCCTTCACATCTTACATGATACTTATATGCTTATGTGATCCATTTGGGAAGACTGTGGTGTGGTCTCTTTGCATAATGGCTACCAATACTGGGTTATACTGCTTTGACTACTTCATCCAACTTCTCTTTTTTAATGTGCACACACTCAGACTACAAACGGGTATGTCAGGAGGAAACTGTCTTCCAGTGAAATCGATAGGGGCTGCAGTGCTTTCAAAGCGCAGGTATGTCTATAGGCTGCCATTAAAGAAAATTATGAAGACATATATTTATATTTAAGTACAGCCTTGGAAGTCTTGATGTGCCAGATGTA